CTGTCGCCGAGTCTCTGTATCTTCTGCGGAAATTGGTCCAGAAGTCGGTCGAGCTAAAGATCTTCGCGGTGGGGGTGAACTTGAATGTTCTCGGAATGGCGATGCTGAGCCCGCTGATATACCATCTCCGACGGCAGCTCTTTTGCGTGGCTGACCTGTTGTGATTTCTTCATCCTCCATCGTATTATCCTCATTTGATCCCAGGTTCAAAGCTTGGAGGCCAGAAAGCGATCGAGTTGGCTGGGGTGAGTTTAAGGGTCTCTTAGACTGTAAGTGTGGAGATGGTGCGTCTGCTTTAGCAGTAGACGCCTCATTATTTGAGGGTTTCCGAAATTGAGAGTCATCTTTCGTTGGTCTTTGTGCTTTAAGTCAGCCTTACTTTTCCTTATTATTGGTAACACACAGCCTTGCATGATGTCGCCCCCACGAATATAATTGTCAGCGGATTTACTAACCTCTTCAACGCACTGTTACTTTCATAAGATTTTCGAAATTGTTCCAATGCATCTTGATCTGATGGAATCTTATCCTGATGCTCTTTTTCTGCATGGTTCCATAAGTCTGTTTCGGAATGACATATCTTGCGCTCCGGACAATATATGCAGGCCCAAGATTTAGTTGTTTTTGTGTTTTTGCGCTGGTGTTGTGTCCATAGGTCGCTTAAATCTGCTTTTGGTTTATTCATTTCTGAATTCTTGTTAGTACCATTTCGAGATTGATGTCGTCGAGACATGGTTAGAATCTGAGGGGGGTTTTGAGTTATTTCGACATGACATTGACATACCGGGCTGGATTCGGAGTTGGGCAATGGTCTGATAAGTGATTGTACATGTGCCTCGAATTTAAGGTTTCGATAGTGACAAATGCATACAGTAGCAGGAGTGAATCAATTGAATATAAGACTCATTGAATGTTCAAAATACATAGTAATAGAATCGAATAGAGTACTTTTCTTGATGAAAGAAAAGATATATAACCGTTCAACTGCCCTCCATCGATACATATACAGAAAGAGAATCAAAATGAGGCTCAATGGGGAAGACTGATCACTCCAGGCAAATTGCGAACCATCTGCGGACAATTTGCGAACCACAGATTTCGGTGAGTAGTCTTCCCCACCAGACGCTACTTGCGCTATTTCAACCTAACTTAAACGAGTCACCGAATTATAACTATAGAGAACGATGTACCTAACAACTAGGTAGGCATGTAACCCACGAAATTTGCTGTAGAACTATGAACTTTGTGAATATGAAATACAACATCGAAAAGGCTGACCATATAGAAATACTTAGGTATGGTAGGTACGTATGTTCGTTTTCGAAGTACAAGCAATCTGTCCTGGATCTATCCAATTTGTTCTTTTGCTGCTTTTTGGCATGAACATCATTCCATTCAGCCTCAGCCTCAGCCTCAGGCTTGAATACATCAGCTCCTTTTCTCACAAGGCTAAGATCCTTTCTCTAGTCTCACTCGAGGTTCGCATCTGTTGTCCGAACCATTGACCTTGTAGTCTAAGCTCCCATATACTCAAGTTGACATGAGACCTCTATACTAGGTAGATAACTGCCCAAGGGCTCACTTCTCCTTCCTTCATTATCAGACCTTGCCTCTTCACATTTCACATTCATGTTCTCGCAACCTATTCATCATTTTACGACTTACGAGCATAGATACAGTAAGAAAACCCGCCAGCGAGCTAATTGTTGTACATGCTGTAGCGAAGTAGTCTAGTAAGATGCTCAGCTCTACAATCATCTTTTGATGCTACACGACTACTGTTAGACACATCTTATGCCCATTTCTAACAGCATTATCTCACACCTCATCCTCAAGACTGGAACCAACTCGTTGGATTTTAAACTAGTCATTCCTCACAGAAACATAGGAATTGACTCACTTTGCTTACCGACCTACAGTTGGATCATCATAATCGAGAAGGATTCAGATGATTAGGAACGGGCGCCTTGATGGCGGAGTATGTTTCAAGTCCATAAAAGCTTCTTCGTCAAGGTCGTTTCTTCCATTAAAACCTACGCATTTAGCAATTTAGCAATGCGTGGGAATAGACCATGAATTTCTTAACGCTGTACGTATATGGCGTTCAGGAATCCAGGCGTTTTATGACACAATTTCGGGAAAAGTCTTTGCCGAACCCTTGCCTGGTGACTAGATATTTTGCTCAAGTCAAAAATTGATATTTAAAGCGCTTACCAGGTGATCAGTTTTTCTAAGACTCAAAGAAATTCAAAATTGCTGTTTCGTCTGCCTTTAATCCTCCACTACATGTGAGCCTCTGTGAGCAAGTGCAGCACAGATCGCTAGGGAGACAGTGATCGAAATTAGTGAATAAGAATTGTTTTCACCGCTCTGAAAATTTGAGTCTTTGATGCCTTATTCTGCGCTGAAAATCCATCAAGATAGTTGTGGAAATGCAACTCGATATCGTATTTTCAGACATCTTTGGTATATCATGCCGAGATTAAGGTCAGCGTTGATGCTGTGTTTTCTTATTCAAAATGTTTAAGGGGTGACCCTTGTCCCGAACTCCTGGACTATCATGATTGTTTGCAAAATCACTTCTTTTTCCGGGCGAAGTCAGATTACAGGACTTGGGCTGAATCTCAAATCTAATCGAACAAGAGTATCTCAGTCGATTGAGAGCCTTGTCGTGATTCATGCGCAACTCACTCGCCATTTTTAGACACAGCAAAACGGGAGGTCTAGAGTACACGCCCAAAGTGGATTATCTCACATGATGAATTTTGTTGAGCTTCATAAGCTGCCTATGAAGATATTGAGGCTGGGTGAAAGACGCGAATACTTCGCGTTTGCGTATTTTCAGCCACCAACTTGCGCAAGTGTTTGGCAAAGCCCCATATGAGACGCAAACGTTCCATGATAGTGAAACTTAGAAGTGGGTTTTAAGAATGCTATCTTAGAGATTTCCCATCTTTCTTTGTCGCGACAAACGCGCAGGCCCAACATGCACATCTATGCGCGTTAGTCCATTCGCACTGCGCTTACCCACATTTACTAGATTTATATTTGTGGTACAAGTATGATTTCATGTTTTTAACTGTTATTCGTATAACCGACGCATCAGGTCAGCAATCACAGGAGCATACTTCTTGCCATGATTCCGTTTGTAAGTTCCCCTGTTTAAATCCGGTTTCCACTGAAGACTTTCCAGAGCATAAGCGATGTTTGCCTTGCAGTAGAAAGGTGACTTTTGCTTCATAATATCGTGATGATGGTATGGTAAACATGGCCTGTTTTTGCGGACTTAGGCGTACCGGTAAAGTCCGGAGGAGGGGAGTAATCCTCCTGTCTAGAATTGCATGACAAATCCTTTATTTTTCGTTTTCTTCAGCTCGCTTCCGCTCGCTTCCCGCTCCTGGGGAATTGATATTCCGTCTATGCTCGCTGCAAATTCGAAGCACCTTTGCGAAAATCAGTCGGTCAAGCGAAGTTGAAAATTCCATCTATATGTATTGCAGGCAAATGGTGAGTCTACCAACTATGCAACCGAATCGTTGGTGTGGCTGGTGGCCCATGCATGAGTGGCGGCCAATTATATCCCTTCCAATTAAGCGTTGATGAATAATCCTTTGAGGGAACTTATCAATCCCTGCTGCTCTCGGTGCAACCGACTCTGACTCTGAGGCTGTGGGATGGCGAAGAATTTTTGGAGTACCAAACATTTAGGAATCTATATATAGAGTCATTGATTTCCAATGAGATTAATTGTGCGAAAGTCCTGATATTGGCAAGCTCGTTTTTCCACTTCTACGCTGGTAATCAAGCTCCGCTGAGCATGCGATGCGCGTGGCGTTCTCGCCACTACAATGCTCCCCTGAGAAGAAGAGTTTTCAGCACAGTGGCCTTCGAATCATATTGTAATTTGTAACGACTCTTCGATCTACGAATACGTCTCTGACTACCATGTCGCCCCTCGGTTATGACTCTATGCTCCCTCTTGGTTTGTCATACTGCATCCCCGATCAGCTAGCTAATCGAAAGAAGTGGTCTTAATGTCTACAGCATGATTACCGCCCATGGAAAGCCCAGGCAACGCTCAATAAGCAATCCCCTGCCTTGCTAACGCTTGCTCTGGACTAATCATGTTCTCAAGACTGACTGACCGTCGAATCTCAATACTTAGATAACTATATTACGCACCCTAGAGATCAGCGCTGGAATGTCATCTTTGTTATTCTTCGGATGACTGTGAACCAGTCAAGTGACTATCACCAACTCTGTTATCCAATATCGGCTTTCTTAGGGTGTGGCAGAAGATCGTATCCGTTTCAAGCGCGATCAGTCATAGCCAATGTATCAATTTCTCAGACACGGTGAATATCGATAGTGCATCATCGCACGGTCCAGGCTTGCTAGAATCTATTTAGCTTGTTCGCCTTTGCGATACCGTCGTATCGAGATGCCTATTGCGCGTCGAGGTGCCCTTTTCAGCTGACAGAGATTGGAAAAAAGGGAAGGCAACAGCATAGCTAGGAATGGTGTAGGAAACCGAAGACCCTGAATACCACGTTTATAGGGCCTCCCGTCATCGTAAAATTGCCCTCGGTGTTACTTTCTCGGCCGATCTTTGAGCCTCCTGACGAATGGTCATCAGAAACTGCTGCTGACCTGGCTGGGAATTATAATGCCTCATTCAGGCAAGCTGCTGAGTATTCATCTCCCAGGGTCCACAATACGGAAGTCCCATATTAGTGTTTTCAATATGACTGTTGAAACGAGGCCTTGTGTCAATAGCTTGTGGAGCCAGTAGACATTGTGTGGTTGCGTGGAGGATAGTAGAAAGATACGAAATGCATTGATCCGTATATGCGGCTTAAAATTTTCAAAACCTATACTTTGCGAGTCCTTCAAGAATCCAGACTAGAAATCCTCTGGTCAGGAACGGTCTGGCCCCTTGGAATATTGAATTCTTCTGGCTGGAATTTTAGATTGATTCAAAATTGAGTCCACTCAGAAATTCACTTACACATGCTTATTACTTGATCGATGATTGAGTTTCGAGACTCTCGAGACTTAGGCTCATGCTTTGTAACACCGCCAGTGGCGACGAAGAGCCTGAGATTGCAGGTGTTTGATTTGCCGCTCTGAATGCACAAAGTTCCCAACTCTACACCGTACAGAACATTATGAAAGAATAGTATCACAACATTGGATCGGGTTGATACGGCTTCGATGACGTCTGCTGTTGTATTTGCACTGATAATATGCTCTCCTTGCTACAAGTTGATGCCCGATTAGCATTATAGAATTTGCCTCGCGTTGTGTTAAAACAACACTTCCGATATTGCATGCTTGTGACCGCGCCCAATGTGATAAATGATGGAAAGGTAGGTTTATGCCCCATCAAGCTGGAATTTACCATAAAATTACCGGTTATACCACTGAAAGTATGGATTGCGGGGAGTCAAGACCCGCCGTATTGAAGAAGCTTCTGCGTTGAGAGCTTCTTAGAAAGAGGCTATGCCCAAATATAGCTACCCGCCCTATAATGTTGCCTTACGTGAGTCTAGCTATAACCTTCCATCATCCCACTATCCGGGATGCGGGGTTAAGCACAGCATCATTCTCATCCTACCGCACCAGATTTCGGATCCAGTTAACGGCCAAAGTTCATGCATCTTATGGTTCCGGAGTATTGACATTAGCACAAACGAGAACCTGCACAACACAACATGTGCACTACAACTACAGTATCGCATTACACGCGCGTTGAACCAGAATGCTGAGTGCTAAACCACACCGGAAAAAGACTGCATTGTACCAGGTAGAACAGTATTCCCTTAGACATATAAAAATTGAGACATGACACTTAAAAATGCCTCATGTAGCACCAAATTCTGCCTTTGAACATTTATCAAACTAAACTGCAATTACTGGTGCCATGTAGATATCCTCACAGCCCGAAAAATGTCGTACAGTATCAGGTTGGAGAAAGATGTTGCAGAACGTTAAACCAGCCAGACATTTACAAAATTGGAGTTCATGCGCTGAACGCGGGTAAACTCCAATGTTGTGCTTGTGCATGCACAACATCAACGCAGTAGTTATCGATTGAAGAAACAAGCGGCCAAAGACAACATGAACGGAGATCGTGTGTGATAGCGAGAATTCAAAGGCGGAGTACTCTTGTAATTGCAACCGCATTTGTTCGATGTCGTGTTCGTACGCCCAAACAGACGCCCAAAAATACTTCATCGATCACGTCGTTACTTCATTAGTGGCAAGAAAATTCGTGTAATCACGTGATCTCCACAGGAACATTTCTTGTTTTCATGGTTTTCAGAAATTTACTCCAAAATCAAAGTCTTACAATGTATTGACGTTGACACATCCACGCTTAGGGCCAATCATTTGAACCCCTGCGGACCCCCATTAAATCCTCTCGCCTTTCCGAGCCTACTGTGGTACTTACTCAAGTTCCAACTCGTGATGGGATATTAACGACCTCACAGCAATCCCAAGCACTCCGGCGCAATCAATGCATATGGCAGGATGGAACGAATACAACAGTTGTTCGCAATAAAACATTATTTCTGCATCTCATCGTAGTTGGTGAGTTGTAAAATCAATGCACGTTTCATTTTTTCTTTGATACATTCATGATTTGATGTAGGGCACGAGACAGGGCTGTCAACTTGGAAACTCGTTTCCCCTATTCTCGCCGTGAATGGCTCGAGAATCAATTTACCCTGTGGCATGATTGTAATTTAATTTGTTCAATGAGGTGAATCTGAGGTGAATCTGAATCTGAGTTCTCAACTGAACTCCGATGTTCATGACTCTTCTTGGGATCATACCATGGTGGCAGACATCATTGGTATTTTCTAGGCTAGAAAGGGTAAGATTGAATTTCAGCGTTCTGAAACGAAATGCCATACAATAAATGGCACGACTACACGATTTTGGCTATATCAAATGCATTTACTACGCTTCGTTGCACTCCGATATCTGCTGGATAATGGAGTGACTATGAGAATCTCCACTTATTCAAATTTGATCGTTGAGATGCTTACGTTGGTTAGGTACGTTGGGTACCCAAAGAGTTTCTGATTATATAAAGTATCACGAATTGGACTGAGACTTGATATCGAATGTTTCGAAGTTTGGCATATGGCAATTAAGATACGATATTATTCCTTGATAATTGGGGCACAATCAGCAATCAGCATATTGATACAAGGTCAACGATCTTTCATTCAAATGTTCTGACATCTTTGGTCAGATTATGCAGTTTCGTATCTGATGATGTCGTGTTGAACATGTCTTTCAATATTAGGGTATTGGGCATCTTCTTGCGGACTTAGGATCCGGGTCTCTTTGAGACGACCCCATAGAATTGTACTGGGCACCTCCTTTACTGAGTGTGCTTTCGGGTACATCGGTTGAATGATTTATACCCAAACTCTCCTGCGGTTTATGATCTGTTCGGGATCTCATCGGGTGTTTGATTGCCTTTTTATAAGAGTGTCCAGTGATTGGCAATTTTGCCCGAGGAGACCACAATAATTCACTTTCGGGCTGAAGCCAGCGAGGAGAGGTCTTAAAGTTGAAAGCTTTCTGAATTTTTCTTAACGCACTTTAGGTGCATGGCTGCAGGCTTTCCTGGCCTCTTTTGTATTTTGGCTCGCTGTTCCTGCATTATTGTCTCGCCCAGTCCTCACCGCTAGTCTGTGTCGCTTTTCAGATCAATAACTTCTCTATATTGGGTCTTGGTGTATAACCCAAAGTCATGCATTTGATATCGCCTTAAACATGACGTGGAGACACTGGCTGTCGAATTTACACGTGCCACGATAAAATTGCGCTATCCTTAGCCATCGCAATGCTGGGCCAGACTGCCCTGAGATGTGGACAGCCTGCAATTGATATTTGCGTCGTCGGTGAGTTATTAGGGCGTCAAGTAGCATATCATTACCGTCTCGAGATCAATAATTGCTACCTAGGTAGGTAGAGACCATAGGCTTCGGCCCGAGCCTCTCAAATCGGGGCATACCAGACTTCCGATATAATTTGAAGACTGCCTTGCCAGAAGTTGAAATAGGATATTGATTGAATTCTAAAATTATGAGTTGATAGCAGGGCGTTCGTAAGCCTCATCCTAGATCTATTCCGCATCACGAGAAATGGTCCACACATGATTTACGCATGATCGATCATTTTAAATAAAGGCAAAGATCAGACATTGCATTGGGAACTTAATGCATTTCAGGGCGCCAGACTGACCCGCAATCACACCTGAGGATAATTGCGATTCAAGACGAGGTTGTATCTGACACAACCCAAGCCGTACAAGGAGCAGTACTCGAGGCAAGATTAAGGGCGCCACCCAAAACGCTACGAAGTAATAGAAAGAAGTACCATGCAGTGAGGCAACCAATTTCATTTTGCCAAGATGTGCAAATTACGTTTCGGTTAAAGACGAGATTATTGAAAGTTAGATGTGTTATCTTAATCCCTGCTGTATCTCCAGCCCCCATTGGAGTATAAATAGGACGTTCAACTGCTAGAATGCTATGGCTGTATTTTAAGAAACAGGGCATCAAACTGCAACTTTGACAAACACATAAATCGTGGATAATATCCCAAACACTTTTGCATTGTTTGTGGCTAATAATAGGCTCCTGTTCGCCTCGACAGAAAGATAATTAGAGCCTTGGTTTCAAGAGTGATGTTGGAGCTCAGGTTCAATCGGCAAATCGCTGCCTCGTTATTCCAGGCCAGTAGACATAACTAAGTCGGATGTAAACAATACTATTCTACCAGCATAATAGTATCGTGTATTCTGGCGCAAAGTACATATAGCATGACTTGTGCATATATCAATGTTACACGCCTGTACTGTGTTTCAAGACCAACTTTATGCTAAAAAGCGGGGTGTAGACCCAGACTTCTTTTGGTTATCGACGCCGATTGGCATGGCTAAGATCAAAAGCAATCAGGCAGATAGCACAACATCAACTTTTAAAATAGTGGTGTGCAAGTAATGCGGATCGGATGAGCGCATGAGAATCGGCCCCCTTAAGCAGTCTGTATATGCCCGATAAAAAGTAATTCCGGTGAATTGATTCAGAAGCCTTTGCATTAAAACAGGCAGAGGCCTTGTGTCAAGATGGCCCGGCCGCCAACATTTGCTATGTGTATGACTCTCAGCCCATCGATATAACATTTTGGAAGAATCTAGGGCCTATTAATTTGGCTAGATGATGTGTCGCTAGGCAGGCCTTACGCCTCTTTTTTTTCTGAGCCTCGACGGATAGTAGATCTGACCAGAAGCAAGTTATAGCAATTATGGGCACTGATCGGCACACCAAGTCTATGTGTAGGCTTCAGGAGAAAACCGCTTCCTGCTCGGCTAGAACTTAAAAAGATGAGTCTGGGGGCTGAATAGCCAGCTTTCGCGATGACATCATGATGCGATCCTCGATCCGATCTCTTCTCTTCTCTTTTTCTCGTGCACCGTCAGGGAGGGGCGTAGCCAGGCTCTTTCTCGGACGTTCTTGGAGTACCTAAATATTGCTGGCTTTCTCGCGCGTTATTGGCCGACATTGAAAGACCAGTATCTTTTGTACCCCGTAACGAATAGGGCCAAAGGAAGTTGCTTGACAAGATAGACAGACTGCTCCCATATCCTGGCACAATATGGTGCAATAGAAGTAAAGTTTCAGTCGTGATTGAATGAAACTTGATTTGTGCTTAGCGAGGACAGGTTGTTGTTCTTCCGAATCTATTGAGGTGACCTTATGCTGGAAAGTGCTAACAAGATAGATCTAAACAGGTATTTAATCCACTCAATGCTGACAAGGTTTGTTTGGTATCCATTGGTTGTATCTTCTAAAGCCTTGATTAAAGGTATCATGAGATGGCCTTGCTCAGATTGATACCTCGCCAGTATGGACCTTCCATGACTAGACCCTCGAGTCGCTCATTGATGGTGAACATCGAGACTGATGAGTAACATTTGGACTGTAGACAAGTGCCATGAGACAAGAACTCATCGCACTCTGAGTCGTAACTAGAGAACGGAGTCATAATGCCAGCGATTGTACGATCAAATAAATAGAGAGCTCTCGGTTGATACTTGACAATAATAAGAGATGAGACTAGATATGAAAACTAGAAGAAGCCGAACACTTGATCGTAGCCTGTTCAATTAGTCTTGTCGTTCCCAAACTTCGCACGTCTTCTTCTTTGTAAATTCTTCTCCGCATTTATAGTATTAGTATGTATCTTGAGAGTCAGAA